ATCACAGGGAATCGTGGAAGATGATCGGAATCAGAACGAAAAATTGGATTCCGTTTTGGTTTTAGGATGGATTTGAAGTTTTCGACGATGAAATTTGACGAGGAGATGCGAGGGTGAGCTCAGCCGCCTGCTACAGTTGACAAAAAAAAAAAAATCAAAATAATTTTGGCTGCTTGCGATGCTGCAAATTAAGCATCTTTTGTTTTGGAGATTCTTAAAATTACCATCTTTTGTAAGAATTTGAATAATGAGAGTCATCTTATTTTGCTTCAGTAACCAAATATCCCTTCCTATTTTTCTTTATTTACAATTTTAGAAATTCCACTATAATCATGACATAAGGAATTTTTTTTTCTCCTTTTTTTTTTCTGTTTAATAATTTCCTATGTAAAAGTTATCTTTGTTCACAAATTAACAAAGAAATTTCTATAGCAAGATAGTTAAAATTTGTTCAAAATTTATAAATTATTAAAGTCTTGACAGCGGATCATTTTTTTTTCTTTTACTTATCTAAAATATTTATCAGGTCAAATAAACTTTAAATTCATCATATAAATTTAGTGTAATGAGATAATTTTTAGTGATAATTGAATTAATTATGTATAATAGATCAACAACTTAAATATTGGATGATAATTTTTAATTTTTTAGATTCAAAAAATAAATTATGTATTTATTTGAGTCAATATAAAATATAAATAAAATAAAGTTAAGGAAGGAAGAAGAACAAACCATAATAAAATAATAATAATTAAAACGACAAAAAAAATAGCAAATAGTTAGGAATAGTATTTATTTATTTATGATTTACATAATAGATCTCTTGGAGAAATTAATTTATCTGTTGCTTTTTTCACTTCCATGCAGGCCAGAAAAGTATCCTTAAATAAAACTGTTTTTCTTCGCAAGGATGGGACCCACAAACAAGGGTGGCAACCCAAAAAGAAAATAAAAAAAGCCTAACTGGTTTGACCGTTTACACTTAACGGTCAATAAATAACACCGTTAACTTAGATTGGACGGAGGGACGACATTAGCATGGTTTTGCATTGTAGAGGGATGACAGGTGGAGTTAATTAATAGTAAAGGGACGACATGAAGCTAATCCATAGTAGAAGGTTTAGAATGCACTATTTTTGATAGTAAAGGGACGATAGATGGCCTTAACCCTTAAGTATTTGATGAATAGTTATTTAATTTTATTTTCAACAATTAACTACGGGGCATTTTAGGCATTTACTAAATAAAGCTTAAGTGGTTTCACT